GGGTGGGGAGAGGCTGAACGTGGCCGTAGGGAGGTCTTATCCGGTCCCGCTTGGCCGCAGGGCACTGGCGTGCCACAGATGCCCTAAAGCCCTGTGCTCTCTCCAGCTGCGCGGTGCCGGGCAGGGGGAAGCGCTGGTTCTGCGCCTGCAGGAGCCGCTCCTGGGTGTCTGGCCCGCGGCAGGTTAAACTTGGAAGGATGCTGGTGGACGGGAGCGGCCCACAGACAAGCCAGGACCGGCCCCATGGGTTGATGGTGCCAGAGCTCAGCCCAGGAGCGCCAGACGGTTGCGAAGCCCATCTCGCCATGGTGCCTGTTACTCCAGTCCAGAAGCCACCACGGTGGGGAGAGCGCGGAGCCGAGGGGAGAGCAGGGCATGTCCCGCGTGCAGCAGAATGCTGTCGGGTTTCTCCTTATCCATGGGGTGCGGGGATGCACGCCATCCTCTGAGCCCCCTTTCAACTTGTGGCATCAGCTTGTCCCCGAGTGAGTCCAGGTTGCCCCACGGGACTTCGCAGCCTGTTGCAATCCTCTGTTGAGCTCTCCCTGGGTGGGAACCGCTGAGGACTAGCCCGCTGCTCAGAGGGGAGATGGAATCCACCTTCACAACTACACCCTCTTCCAGGGATCTCCTCCTATGCTTTGGCAGGGGACTCGGGGCTGTGGTGGAGCCCCAGGGTCCCTCACCTCCTTCCCCTCACATGTGGCAGTTCTTGTTTTGCAGGTGCAGCCGGGTGTGTAGCAACGTTGCTCCACGATGCAGCCATGAACCCTGCTGAAGGTAACGATGGTCCTGGCCTGCTGGGGAGGGGAGGATCAGGGGCTGCTCGTGTCACTCAGGGCCGCTGTGCAGCACGGAGAGTGCTCTCCTCGTTGCTCACCCAACTGCGAGGATCCTTTGGGGGCCAGTGGCTGTGGCTCCAGTTAGGGAGCCCGGTGGCCTCCCGTTACAGAGCGAGTAGGTGGACGAGATTAATTCTGAGGAGCGCAGCAAGCCTCAGCTTAGGAGGAGCTGGGAGGGCATCAGCCTTTCACTCAGGGGTTTGACGGGTTTTGATGGTTACCTGAAGCAGGAGAAAAGGCAAGAGAGATGTGATCTGTACTGTTGAAGTCATTCCAAGTGTGTGGGAATTGGGAATTGCTGTGGTGAGATCTCAGGAAAATGTGGTATGGTTCTGGGCCTGCATTCAGGAAAAGTTAAAACAATGGTGTGCAAAAGGCAATGGTAGAGAAGTCAGGAGAAGAGAGATCTTGGGAAGTATCTGGAAGATACCAGACTCAACTGAATCAGTATGTATGGTAAAGGCAGAGGGGAGTTTGTAATTGAAGTGTCTGAACATGATGGGAGAAGGAGGAATTAATAAGGAAAGTCCACTCATGAATGTTTTTTTCCTCTTAAAACTGGAGGGCTTGTGGTGGTGCAGGCTTCAGCTGATCTGGGCCTAGCAAGGCTGCCCCCTGCCTGCTGCCTGGCTGGGACCCTGAGGAGCAGGCAGCTGTGTGGCCAGACCATTGTCATCCCTTCCCTGGACCTCATCTTCTTATCACGACTGTAGTAGTTTGCAGTCGCGTCATTTTTAGCTCCGTGTGGTCACATTGAAATACAGGGAGGCAGAACAGCAGCAGGCTGCACCCTGGGCTCCTCTGCCCTGCTCTTGGATGTGTTGGGAGCGCGGTTGATATTTCATTCTTGCCCCAGAATGGCTGCGTTTTGGCGACAGCCACTAACAATTCTTGGCTGGCGGGCTCTGCAGTGTGCTGTGGTTATTCTGGGCTGCAGCAGGGGTGGCTGGGGAGGGACAGGCTCGTCCAGCTCAAGACTTGTCTTGAGACTAAAAACATAGATGCAGAGGGGGTTCTGACTGTGCAGTGGGGAATGGGAGAGACATCACTCTTTTGGGAGTGACTGTAGATCTGCAGCGTAAGCACCTGAGTACTGGGGTGTTCCCTGGGCCTGCAGCAGCTACGAGGTTTGCAGGTAGTAATGTCTGTGCGATCATGATGCCACAGCAGATCTAAATGGCTGCAGTCCTGCCTGGGGACATGGTGGGCACTGCTGGTCCAAGTTGTCCATTATTATTACCAGCTCTTAAGCCAGCATGACCAAACTCTGGGCACTCAGAGGAAGCCTGGCTTTGTGCTTACACTTTCTCTCTCCTCTTCCCCTCCGTGCCTGGGTCCTGGCTGCTGCTGCTGGCTGCCACGCTGTGTCGCAAGTGGTCAAACAGAGGATGCAGATGTACAACTCGCCTTACCAGCGTGTGACGGACTGTGTGCGGGCTGTGTGGCGCAACGAAGGGGCCGGAGCTTTCTACCGCAGCTACACCACCCAGCTCACCATGAACATCCCCTTCCAAGCCATTCACTTCATGACCTACGAGTTCTTGCAAGAGCAGCTCAACCCCCACAGACAGTACAACCCAGGCTCCCACGTGGTCTCCGGAGCCTGCGCAGGGGCTGTCGCTGCTGCTGCCACTACACCTTTGGACGTTTGCAAAACACTGCTCAACACCCAGGAGTCGCTGGCCTTGAGCTCCAACATCAGTGGACACATCACAGGCATGGCCAATGCCTTCAGGACGGTGTACGAAGTGGGCGGCATAACCGCCTACTTCAGAGGGGTCCAGGCGAGAGTCATTTACCAGATGCCCTCAACGGCGATCGCCTGGTCCGTGTACGAGTTCTTCAAATACATCCTCACCAAGCGCCAGGAGGAGTGGCGGGCTGGGAAGTGAGCCAGAGCCAAATGCTGTTCCAGGCCTGCTTCACCTCCCGTCCTGTTTTGTCTTCTGAACCCTCTGCCTTTTGGTTTGGTTTGTGTTGCAGAGAGGGGGCAATGAAGCCCTTCGTGGTTTAGCGATGCCATTTTTTGCCTGTGGCTGCTGCAGCTCTGCTCAGGCTGCACAGCTTGCTCTCTCCCAGGGTCCTCCGAGATGTCCTGCTGGGAGCTGCAGCCCAGGTCACATCCCCTGGCACTTCGGTGGAGCTGTGCTCCTGTTCTTCCCTTAACCAGAACCTCCTCTCATGCAAAGCTCACCCCTCCTTGGAGGGGAAGGTGAATGTCCTGCCCTGCCTCTGGCAGGGCCAAGCTGAGCTCGCAGTCGCCAAGGAGGGAGCAGCGGCACTGCCCAGGATGCTGGGAGCTTTATCTGGCTTTTGGCTGAAGTAAAGTGTAAGCCTTGCCGTTGTCTTGTAGCACGCACAGTGATGCTGACTGCCCCTGTGGTGGTGGGCGGGGAGGGAGGATGGCACTTGAGGAGGGGAGCCTGTAGGTTTGTTCATTGTTCCTGCTCTTGACACCTCCAATAAAAAACAGTTCTGCTCTATCCTCATGTCACCTTCTTACTCCCACATGGCCCAGCTCCCAGCACCGCATCTTGCTTACTGTAGCTGGTTCTGAGCTCTTTTGACAGGTGCCAGAAGGGGAAGGGATATGAGGTCTGGGGGGACAGTGGGGGGCCTGGCCTGGGAGAGGATGATCCCCATCCCCTTTGGCTCGTGATCCATTGGTGTTGGCCGCAGGGTCGTGTGTCTCAGGGGCAGCACAGGAGTTTTGGTGCTGGTTCAGGCAGGAGGGCTTTGTGCACCTTGCATAGGAGATTTATGGCTCAGCAGGGCTTTTGCCCCCTGATTTTGAGTTAGTTAGTTTGACGCTTGATAAGCATCTTAAAATTCGACCAACAGACTTGCTCAGAGTGCTAATTTTTTTTTCCAGTCTAATGATAATTAATAGAATGGTTATTTTTTAAACATACTGTTAGCGGTCTTGATACTGACTTCTTTTAGGGTTTGTACCTGTGAGCCAGCCTCACCAGCTCATGTGCTGAGCACTGAAGTATTGCCTAGAGCTGACCCTCCTGGATCAGAGCTTTGGCTTCCTCGAGGTGGATGCCTGTGGGTGACTCCTGGCTCTTGTGGGACGCTCCTGAAGTGCTTGCGAGAGGGGCATGCATCGCACAGTGCCAAGCCCGAAATAACTCCCTGGAGGCAATGCATCCACAGCCGTGGTATGTGCTGTCAGTGAGCCTCTGGGATGGCTCAGGGATGCCCTGGAGTATCTGCTGGCCTGGTTTGGCCTGTACAGAGGGCTGCTGGAGTGGCCTACGGCAAGGTGAAAGAGGGGTTTTCCTACAGTTGGAAAGGCTTCTGGGTGAGCAGGGGGTCATGGAGCACTTGGGTGCATGGGGCCCCAGCACTGCCAAGGGGCTGGAGAGCAGAGATGCCCAGGTCTGGGCTGAGTGATCAACACCCTGCCCAAGCACCAGCCCAGCCCTGACTCCACCTTTCCCATAAAGATCTCTCCTGCCTCAGTTCCTGAGTGTGGGTGATAGACGCTGAGTGCTGACCCACAGGATTTTTGATGGCTGTCTTGGCAGTTCTCAATGTTCCTGGGCACAGAGCAGCCACAGCCCCTGCTCTACAGCCCAGGTCCACCAGCGTTGTGTATTGTGCCTGTCCTTTGCTCCTGCAGGCTCCCCATCCTGCTTTTTCTCCACGAGCAGGAGGACAAGAAGCTCGTTAAAGAAACAAAAGCCACAAAAGGCAGGAGCCTCCGGTTTTCTTCCATTTCAGGAGCTGGGACTTTAAGACATAGCCCGAGTACTGCAAGATTTGGCAGCCCTGGGGCTCCTCCACCCAACAGGGAGAAATCTGAGAAGCAGAAATGACTGGGAGAGACCTGGGGAGGATTAGCTTGGCGGGCAGGGCATTAGATAGAATACGGGTACAACTGGGCTCTGCCAGGACAGGTCTCCCTGCTCAAAAACTGAAAGCTGTTGGCAGCAGAGCTGTAGCTTCACCTGTAGCTCTCACCATGCACCCACCAGGGCCATGAGAGACCCCGAGGAGGGAAAGGCATAAACACAGGCTGGGGCTGGTGGGAGATTCATGCTCTTAAATCCATCAGCCGCTGGAAAAAGCTCTATAAATGTCAGCGACTGAAGGCACGACTGAGGGAGATTCCAGGATGTTTCCAGGAATAACTTCCCACAGAAAAGCTGGGGGAGGGAGCAAGACCCCCAGGAACCCAAGAAGATGGTGAGTCAGCACAGTACAGAGGTTCTGCCACGTGAACAACTGGCCTGAGCCATCCTCTGGCAAGGGCATGGCCCTCCTGGTCTCATGGAGCTTTGCCAATTTACCCAACAGCAGCTGGATGCTGCCCAGTGAAGGCAGCAGCAGCCCCAAGGAGGTTGGCTCTGCCTGCGGCGAGGAGGTTCTGGCACTACAGGAATAATAGAGCTGCCCAGGGGGTTTCCAGGTATCCCTTGGGCCAAACCATGAAAGACTGGAAAAATCCACTTGCCTGCTGCCATCTCCAACCCCTGAGCTGGACCTCTTCCATAGACCAAGGGCTGGCCGTGGCGGCATGCAGCTGCTCCTCAGCTCTGCCAGGGTGAGTGTGTCCCCTCGACAGCCAGCGAGATGCCCTGGCACCTATGGCATGACGAGATGCCCAGAGGTAACAGTGTTATTGGCTGGTTCAGCTACAGCCACTGCATGCCATTCTATGATTCTATGATTTCCAGGGTCTGAAAACGCCTTGGTTAAGCCATGCTGATCTGGGTCTGTCCTATGGCCTCCTAGGTATTTGGCTGCGCTTCGAGTGAGATCCATCCCACAGCCTCTTCTGAGTAAAGAGTCTATTTTTATCTTTCCAGCAAGGAAGCCCAGAGTTTTGGAGACAACCTCATTTTCTTTTGCCTCCCTGCAGGACCCCTGGCCACATCCAGTGTGGGCAAGGGTTTGCTGCCTTGCGTCCCCACATCCAGCTGCCCCTCCAGCCCTGTCCTGCCACTGCTGCTGAGGGGGTTCCTGTGTGGGTGAGCTCTGCAGCCTCTGAGCAGGTGGAGCCAGGCAGCACTGCTGGCCTTCCCCTGGTCCAGGTGATAGATACGGAGCTGCTGCAGCTCTGCTGTGGCACAAGCCCAAGTAATTTCAGGCAGCCTGAGTTTGTCAAGCCACGAGCAGCTCAGGAGCCACTGGCCACATTCCTGGGGTAACTGGAGATGCCTATACTCCTGTAGGCTTAGGGTAGAAATAGGTTGAGGGGAGCTGGGGGGGTGAGGTCATCACACCCAGAGCAAGAAAGGGAGACCCCTCCAGCTTGTCTGCCCTGTACCTTCAGCCAGGGGCCAGTGGACTCCTGAGCTGCTCCCGCCTCAAACACACCACACAGGGAACCAAGTCCCAGCCTGCAGGGGCCTTTGCCAGCCCATCTCGGGACAGGCAGAAGGGCAAGGGTGCTGCCCTGCCAAACCATATCCCTGCCTCTCCTCTGCCAGCACCCTAGGCTATCCCAGGCTTTCCTGCCCCCCAGCCCCTCCACAGCGGGTGCCTGGCAGCCCTGCTCAGTGGAAGGAGGTGGCTGGAGCCTACAGGGAACGCAGAGGTAGGCTCCCAGTCTCCCTCCAGCCCTGATCCACACTGGCTCTGGGATTCCTCAGGGCTCTGTCAGACCCCAATAAAGTTGTACAAGTTCTCATGACCCCACAGCCTTACAGCAGTGGTAAACACGGGCACTGGGGCTGCCTGGACACAGAGCAGACATTGCCTCTGATGGGCCCTGGGAAAGTCTCTTCTGACCCTCATTGCTGCCTGGGTTAAATGGCTGAGACAACTCCTGGCTGGGCTGGTCCCAGCCTGCCTGGCTCCAGCCAAGCATCCTCGTGCAGGAAGGCAGGGAATACAGCCTGAAAGGTAAAGCTTAGTCTGTAAACCTGCTTTCTTGGCTATAAAGACACCTCAGAGGAAGCAATCCTCAGGGCTGGGCTGGGACTTCTCTCAGCACGTCTGGTTTGATGGGGAGGTATTGGTAATACCTGTGCTTACTGCAGGGTTATATGTCAAATCATGACAAGGGGCTGCAAAGTAACCATAGGAAGATGCTGCCTGGCTGGAGCTGGGATGAAGGCAGATGGTGTATCACACTGGGGAGGTGGCAGAGGTGGGAGAAGAGCTGCTACTGGGCTGGGTGGGGGTGGCACAGAGGTTGGAGCAGGGTTCACTCTCCCAAGGGCACCCGGATGAGGACAGTGGAGACAGCTCAACTGTGCTGCGATACTAGAGCCTGCACTGGGCTCAGTCTCAAAAGCAGCTGAAGCGAGGGCTGTCTGAGGAGATGGAGGGGGTTCCAATCCTAATCTTCCTATGCCAGCACACCTGCAGGTATTGCACTGCCAGTGATGCAAGTCTTGGAGAAACCCTGCAACACCCCCAGGTCAACTATAGCATGGGAGCTGACATGAGAGCCTTCTGGCAGGGCACAGACCACGCCTGGCCAGGCTAGGTATGTGTCAGGAGAAATGCAAATCCAAGCAACCTTCTCCTCTGACCCTGGTACCTTTGTGTGACCATTAGACCTGAGCAGCATGTTGCCTGGAGCATTGCCAAGGGCTACAAAATGGGGAGGGAGCAGGGAATTGGGCCAAAATTGCACCATGTGTCCATTGAAGTCACAGCTCCCTCTGGTGAGGACACAGCTGTAATGTGAACCTGACCCTGGGCACCACAACCATCATAAATGTTCTCAGGCAAGGACTTGCCAGGGGTGAACATGTTAGCTGGAGACTGCAAGTAGTGCTGGGACATTATGAGTTTGGAAGGAGGCACTGGTAGAATTGCACCGCTTCGGGATGGAGAAGATAATCAAAGCTAAAATCCAGCAGGGTCTCTCACAAAGGCACACTGGAGGCTTGTGCTCAGCTTAAAGAACACAGAGAGCAAAACTTTGCTCACAAGAAAGGGGCCTGCACGATGTCTAAATACTGGGAAGGGACACTGGCCCTGTTCCCAGCTCTCGCACCGCAGCGAGAGCACATGTGGGTACTTTCCTCTTACTGCAGGTACAAGCCCCAGCAATGCTGCCTGGTGCAGCAAAGCTCCTGCGTGTGTTGGGAGACCCCAGCTCCTGCAGAGCTCAGCCCTGGGGAGACACCAGCCTGCCCAGAACCT